TGGGGAAAGTGGACAGCCTTGACGGACACCACTTGAGGTTGCAAAAGTAGATGACAGTTCGCCATAAGCTCTGACTTGACTAGTAGTGTTCGAGTAAAGAGCCTTTATAAGGTTTATGTACTTCTGGGGTACGCCTTTCAATGACAGACACTGCCACAGAATCTCGCGATCTACAGAGTCAAATGCTGCTTTTAAGTCAAGAAAGACCACCATTGTCGGACGCCGATAAGTATGCCTGTGTTCTAGAATCTGACGAGTGGTGAATATGTGGTCGATGCAGCCACGACCAGGTCTGAAGCCAGCTTGGTTCTCTCGTGTTTGCAGTTCACGAGTCTTAGTTAGGCGTCTGATAATTATCGAGGCTAGTATTTTAGATATTATATTAGTTAAACTAATCCCTCTGTGGTTGTCACAGGATGATTTTGACCCTTTCTTATATATTGGGACGATAAGTGATTGCGACCAGTCAGATGGGATAAAGTCTAATTCCCAGATCTTAGCTAAAATATTAGTCAACCTAATCGCTAAAATTGGACCACCATCCTTAAAGACCTCTGGAGCCAATCCATTTGGACCAGCTGCCCTTCCTCGTTTCAGATTAACTATAGCCTTTTGAACTTCTGCTAGAGTTGTGGGACCTACTTCAATGTTCCATTCACACTGTCTGGGAATGGAGGGTAGTTGTAGAGTCGCTGAAGGCCAGTTGAACTGTTTACTGAAATTTTCCTCCCATCGTTCTAAACGTCTGGACTGGGAGTAGATGAGAGTATCGTCTTTTTCCGAAATAATCTCACTTACACTTGACTTATTAATTCCAGTTTCTTTTATTAGTCTGTAAAGCTGTCTTGTGTTCCCTATAGTCGCCGCCTTTTCCATCTCTTTTGCTTTCATTGCCCACCACTGCTCACGGTCGTTTCTTAGACTTTTTCTTAACCTAGATCTGATTTGTTGTCGCTCTTCATCATGTTCGGAACCTGATGGGACGAGTTTGCGAGAATCCATCAGTGTGATAGACTTTGAAGAAATCCATTGGTTCTTTGTAACTCTTTGGTTTAAGTCGCTAATAGATGCCACTGCTGTTTCCACAGCTGCTTGTATGTCTTTCCCAGCAACATCTGGGTCAGCCTCGTTTTCAGAACTACCTAATTGTGAACTCAGTTGTTCTTGGAACCTACTTTTGGTTTTCTCGTTACTCAACTCAGTTCTAATGGGTCTTTTTAATGTGGCTTTTTTGCGTCCAGTGAGGCGCAAGCAGATGCGTGCCCGTATTAGGGCGTGGTCGGAGTCCAAGCCGGTACTCCAGAATGAGCGACAACCTTGTACCGACCCTCTCCAACGATGACTGATGGCAATATAGTCTATTTGAGTCCATCGTTGGTTTGGTGTAGGGGGTCGCCATGTTAGACGATGTCTCTCCTTATGCTTAAAATTTGTGTTTGCTAAAAATAAACGATTGTCTGAGCATAGTTGCAGCAGACGATCACCATTATCTGTTCGCTGTGCCGGAATGCTAAAATATCCACCTAAATGCCTTTCTGTTTGGTTTAAGCTACCTATCTGAGCATTAAAGTCACCTGCTACGAGTACTATGTCTGAACGTTTAGCTTTCTGAAGAAATTCAGAAAGTTTTCTGTAAAATTCATCCTTCACATCATCTGAGCTGCAGTCAGTGGGAGCGTAGGCAGAAACGACGAAAAGGCAACGACGTGTATCCCTATCCTTCCGAGTTCTTACGGATCCGTTTAGCCGAACAGCACATAGACGACTGTTGACGGGGATCCACTCTAGCAGTGCTTGTTCCGCCCTCATACTTAGTGCTATGCCTACACCTGCCAGTCCACGAGAACTGGCCATCGGGTCACCAGATACAAGGAGGGTGTATCTCGTTGGCTCTCCGTTTTGCCGAGGTGAGGTCAAGTGAATGACCACACTAGGATCCTGTATGCGTGTTTCGAAGACACAGCATACATCAATGGTACGAGACCCTAGAATTTTAGCCAAGGAGGCCTGCTGACCGATTTGACATAGAGTGCGTACATTGAAAGCTCCAATGTGTAGTTTGGAGCGAGGTTTCAGTATACCTGGGACAATGTTTTGCGCACTAGAATCGTTGGCTATGGTGACACTTGAGGAGGAAGCCGAAAGAGAAAGTTTAGAGTTGAAATTCGATGTAGGAGGAATAATAGGAATTGAAGAGGAAGGTTGATTATGAATACAGTGATCCTGGGTGCTGTTAGAGGTATGAGGGCGGTTATCACTTCCCGGTTGCCCACACCGTGGAAGGGTTCTTCTGGGGGTACCTGAAAAGGAAATTGGATTAGAGGTGGTCTCAGTGACCTGAGAGCGTGACCGCAGTGCCCAAGGGACAACTGCTTGAGGCCGGTCGCGCACGGCCTTTTCGTGGGAGGTTTTCTACGTGTTAGCTCCGTTCTTCAAAAGGGCCTTATCGCCGGAGACGGAAATCCGTGGGATAAGGCGAGGTGTGCATTTTTAGGGTCGACCTTTTCTAACCCCACCCCTCCTTGTGGGAAGGCAGCATCGTTGTCATGCTGGTTGTCTGAAGGAAACACCTTACTGCTGTCACACCTCTGTACAGTGAGCAGTACGACTTCGCCTTCGGACCTTGGGTTTGTTGCTTTTAGTCTTACCGCTCTTCAACCGACCTTTCTGACGTGGTAGGACCTTGAGGAACGGTTGTTCCAGTCAGTATAGCTCGGTTGCTTCATCACGATAGACAAGCCCGACCACCACGTCAAGATAGCAACAACAGTCGGGTTGGGTACTGTACCCAAACAGCTGGTTCATTTCTTATTAAGGATACCGACTCGCTTGATCTTGTTCAGCGTTTGAAAACAAGGTTAGTGAAGGATCTTTCCGAACTCCTTCACGACGGTCGCTTCAAACGTGGTGACTTAATATGGGCGTTCCGTATGTTTAATAACGATTTTAGTGTTAATATATCTTAGTTTTGTGCTCCCTTCAGTACTAATAATTTTTGATGCCATAGCACGATGGTCCGAAAATCTAAATCTAATTAACTCAGAGTAGGTTTCCGTTCTTCAGATTTAGATTTGTGTAGTAAGGATAGAAGGCATACGGCGTATGGTTTTTCCTTTTCTAGCATGTTTCTGTGAGTGTCTAGTCTTCTCTTGAAAGAGTCAATTGAAGGTGCGGACACCGCTGCTTCGGGTAACAGGTTCCAAGAATTGATGACTGTGTGAAAACGTGTATGCCACGGGTATTTTGTTCGTTCTTGGCTTTTCTACTCGCCTACGATACCCTCTTAGATGTCCCGATCTAGCGGGAAGAAGAAGAGAGTATATATTAGGTCCAAAATCATTTTTTTGATATTCTATATGTTAAGATCAGATCACCTCTTAATCTGCAATAGGACAGAGTAATAGACCCAGCTTTTCAAACCTCTCTTTTTATGGTAAACCCTGGAATTGCACGAGTAGCTGCCCTCTGTACGTTTTCCGGAATATTCGAGTGACCTTTTGAACGGGTTTGCGGCTTCAATGCAGTTTTGAAGCTTAGTTCTCATTAAGGGTTTTCATACTGTAGTGAACATAGTAGTGTCTAACTTGGTGAATGTCCGTCTTAAATTCCCAAGGGTTCTAAACTTTTTAGCTTTAATATCGCAGCAGTGGGCCGTGGTCTTAAGTTCATAACTCACTGTCACCACAAGATCCTTGTGAGACCGGACTACGGGTATAGGCACTTCTATGATGTACCTATTTACCTTTGTATCCCCAAGGTGCATGTAGACACACTTGGTCACACCAGCCATTTTTGACCAGCTAATCAGAATATCTAAGCCTGCCTGAAGTGCGCATGCATCTGCGTTTCTTGTTATTTCCCGCCAGATTTTTGAGTCGGCGTATAGCAGCATTGGGGACCCAACTGTATTTGGCAGTTCACTTACATATCGTATAAAAATTAAAGGACATAAGACAGCCTTGCGGTACTCAACTAAGTACTGGTTTCCGGATGGAACACTTGAAATTTATTCTTACTGTCTACGACCTACCAAGAAATCCATAAGCCATTTTAGGAGAGGTCCGACACTGCCTAGATATTTCGGCTTCAAGAATTGTCTATTTGGTGGCACCTTATCAAACGCTCTACTGAAGTCTATGTAGACTACTCACACTGATTTTCTATTGTCTAGAGCCTCTATCCATTGCTCCCTTGCTTTGAGGTCTGTTGTGCAAGATAAAACTTTTCTGAAATCATGTTGCTCACTGTTTAGCAAGTTGTTGGTTTCCAAGATTATCATTATGGCCTTGTTGACTATTCTTCCCAATATTTTAATTATGACACTGGTGAGGCTGATAGGTCTGTATTTTGATGGAAGTCGTCTTGGTCCTGTTTTATGTATGAGCTTCACGGACTGTAATTATACATGTATTTCGTACCGACTTGTAGCATTCCACTGTACTTGCTGTGCCAAGGCTGATGGCGATGTTCCAACATTTCTTCTTTTGTCTTAGTAAACGTCGAATATCCCAGCCTGTCCAGGGATGACTGTGCTTCTTTTTGGGGACTGTTCAGGGTATAAATGGTTGTTACTTGATTGTATAACTGCCGGAAATGAGTCCGTACCTCTTGTACTAATGCTCCTGAGTCCTTAACATGCCCCCACCAAAAGTGAGTAATTTTCGGAAGTTATTTGTTTAAAATAATGTCTTCTACTTCAGGTACACCGAGGCTTAGAAATTATAATAACTAGCTTTTGAATGACTTGTGAGAGCTGTAATTTGCTTAAATTTAAACCTAAGTGTAGTAGTGCATCATTCAGACCATAATCATAACCAGAATAATAATTCAAATCGATTTATGGTATGATTAGTGTAAGTAACCAAACTGACTACACAGCGTCAGATTTTTTTCGCTCTAATGTATGCATAATAAATGATTTCTGAATTTCCTAGATTCCGTTGAATTTTAAATCATCTTTTGTACTCGTTGTGGTCTTTTTTTAGTGATTGATAATAAATATGGATGAGATTATCCCAGGTCTATGGCTTGGACCTATGCCATTTGCAGAAAATATTTCAGTCTTAAAAAGAAATGGAATAATGTCAATTTTAACATTAGATATCCTGCCATTAGACTGCAATGTATTCAAAGGATTTAACATGAAGTTCTTATATCTGCGTGACGAGCCATCCCAGGATTTGCTGGAAATTCTTGAAGATGCTTTAAGTTTTATTGATGAAAGTATAAAAAATAACTCAAATATTTTGGTTCATTGGTAAGCGGAGTAAATACATAGTGGTCTAGTTTTTTTAAATTAAAAACGGGTGAACGGAGTATAGTGCTATGGGTGTATCTCGCAGCGCCAGTGTTGTAATCGCCTACCTTATGCGTCAAAATCATTTATCCTATGAAGAGGCTTATAATATTGTTTCAAGGAAACGGAGTATTTTGTAATTACGGTTTTACTGATTGAATGTTTTATGATTGATTTCTATTAATATTTAGTCCCAATAATGGATTTATTAATCAGTTAAAGTTGTTTCATACTATGAAGTGGACGGTCAACCGTGATTCTCCATTATTTCAACAATATATGACGAAAAGAACCTTCTCAGTTTTTACGGGTTTGCTGTTTATAAGTGTTATTTCTAATCCCTCTTTTTAATAGATTATAATGGTGATCTTTTAGAAAGTCAAACAGTCTATCAGTTGCACAACACACCTTCAAGTTTTAGATGTAAAAAATGCAGGTTTCTGTCCTTTAAAAAAATAAATACGATTTTTTTTTCAAAATATGAATTTATCCTTGTAGACAAGTGTTATTCAATTCGAATCAGTTACGCATTCATCAAAAACCGGAGACAACACCTAATCCTCTTATAAATTCTACAAAATCCAAGAACACTGATAACGTATCTAGTGTCCTAATCAAAGGTGTTTCACTAAATAACTCTCCTTTACAATGTGATAAAAATGAATTGTTTTGTGACCCATTGGAATGGACATTGCACAGTACTAGTGATGTTCAAGGAAAGGTATGCAATCCCGTTATTTCGTTGTTGAAGAATATGGAGTTTTGTAAACCACTAGTTATAACATTAGTTTGTTTGCTATTCCTCCAGAGTATTTATACTTTGAACCATCTTTAACAGATATTTCGGCCATGGTACATTGTCTTTGTAGTATTAGGCAACCAGTTAAAGCATAGAACCTGATACTTATGTACATCGATTCAAGTTGCTATACCCTATTAGCACAGATGGATTATATTGTCATGTTTTATCCCAGAATGGTAGAGGTAGTAACGGTATCAGCGGCAACAAGAAATATTAGACATCGAAGACACGACTCGGAAAGAAAATATAAATTGGTGAAATAAAAGCAAAAGCAGTTATGAAGAGTTCATAATCTCAGGATTTAGGAGAATACAAAGAATGGATGCACCTGCGCTATGGCGAATGATTTTAAGCCATATTATTCAAAGTCTCTAACGATTGGTTGCAGTGATCTCGCGGACACCATCCAGGTAGTCTCTACCTATTAACATCGCTCAGTCCAATTGTTAGTGACTTCAACCAAAACGTGGCATCAGTGCATGAAGTCACTAATTTCTAGTCTTAGCCATGTTGGTAGATGCAGACTACTTAGTTGGGGTCCAACCAATGGTTGGAGACTCTGGGTGACATGGCTCACAATCGATCACAATGGCGTCGGTGCATACACTCCCCTGTCTTCCCTTAAACTAAGAGATTAAAATCACTTCATATCTTCCTTTCTACGAACCAATTCTTTTTTTCTGTACTATATCCTTACATAAGGTCTTTTGTATATTACACCATTGAGTTAACTGATTCTATGAATCCGGTGTTCATGTTGTTGTGCTAATGCGGTATGACAACTTGGACCGGTGCATATATGTGCCTGGTGCTACGTTGTAGCTGACTCACTGTTAGTGACATCATGGACTGACGTTGTGTTTGGGTTTGGGCACTCTTAGCTTTGTTCCAGCCTGTTTCTACACCAAACAACATCGCTCGTTGAGGTAGGCCGTAGTTAAGCTTACGTAACGAATGTCCCAACCACCTCAGTTGATACAGATTCACTACCTGATGGCAGCCTATTCCTAATCCATGCATTGCTTAGTCTGTGATCTCAACACACATGAGCAATGCTTCGAAGACATCTATGATGGAATACTAGTAACCTACGAATATCCTCTATTACTAATGGTCATGTTTCACACTCATGAAGTAGAACGAATTGAACTGCTGCTCAGAGAACCCGTCCTTTGTTTGGCAAAAGGATGCCACCTGCACCACAAGTGATGCAAGTTGGTAAAAGCCAGTCGGACTGTCAGTGTATGTGAAGATTTCGTCAGTCATCAGATCATCATGATTGATGAGACGTCCAAAATAAGTGGAGTTGACGATGCGTTCAGCTGCCCCACTCATTGTGATTAATCCGGGTGATGACGCAAGCCAATCGCGAAGCAACATTTTGCACTTGGCAGGAGAGGACTGCATCTCAAACATGCTTGCATTGTGTTTTAAGGTGGTCAGAAGACTGGATTTTTCTAGCGTCTTCACCGAACACAACTATATCTTCTGGACATTCCGAGTGAGTAAGTGAATCTTCTGGTAGATCAACCCCTGAATAGTCGAACGATGATAATATTATTTCTAAAGGCATATCTATGACAGTTAAACCAGCCTGGTTTACTCGGGTTTGCTTTTCAAGAGTTCTAGTTAGATGTGTCAGTATTATAGAGACTAATATTTTAGACACTGAATTATTTAAACTGTTTGCTCTGTGATTGCCATAAGACGACTTTTGTGCTTTCTTATAGAATAACGATCAGCGACTGAGACCGATTGCACTGAATTACGTGCAATTTCCAGATTTTAGCTAAGATCTCAGTTAATGTAACTGCTAGAACTGGGCCATCATCCTTAAAAATCTAAGGGGTTAGTCCATCAGACCCTGCTGCTCTCTTTCGCTTTAGATTGCCTATAGCCTTATCAACCTCACCAAGAGTTGTAGGACATACGTCTATTTGCTATTCAGCTCGCTTTGGGATAGTAAGTAAGTAAAGTGTGGTTGGAGGCCAGTTGAACTGTTCCCTAAAGTGTTCTGTCTATCAGTCCGATCTCCAGGATTGACAGTGAATATTAGTCCCGTCTTTTACTGAGATAGTTTCACTAACGGCTGTATTTTTATTACCCGTTTCCTTGATAGTTCTGAGCAGTTGGTTACTGTTACTTATCGCAGCTGCCTTTCCCATCTCTTCTGTTTTCACAACTCACCACTGCTCACGATCATTGAGTAGGCTTTTTGTCAAGCAACGTTTAAGCTGCCTCCATTCCTCATCGTGTTTGGAGCCAGACGGGATGAGTTTACAAGTATCTATCAGTTCCGTAGATGCTGCTGAAACCCATTGATTTTTCTTAACCTTTGGTTTCAGTAACTAGTAGATATCACTGCTGTTTCCATGGCTTGTTGGATAACATGCCAAGTTACATCGGGTTAGATATAATTTTCACGGTTGACTAGCTCCTCTAGTCGTTCCTGAAATGTATTCTTCACTTTTTTATGATTGAGTTAGACTGTAAGAGGTTTTTTGCAGTGACTCTTCTGCATTCAGTAAGACAGACAGATACGTGCTCAAATTAGACCATAGTCTCAGTCTGAACCTCTGCCCGACCATTGTTGCTGCCTTGACGTGGTAGTCGGGCTTGCCTGTCGTGATGAACCAATTGAGCTATACTGGCTGGAACAACTATTCCTCAAGGTCCTACCATGTCAGACAGGTCGGTTGATGAGCGGTAAGACTAAAAACAGCAAACCCAAGGTCTGAGGGTGAAGTAGTACTGCTGACTGTACAGAGGTGTGACAGCAGTAAGGTGTTTCCTTCAGACAACCAGCATGACAGCGATGCTGCCTTCCCACAAGAAGAGCTAGAGTTACAAAATGGTCTACTCTAGAAATGCACACCTCACCTTATCTCACGGATGTTCGTCTCCGGAGGTAAGGTTTCAAAAAGTACGGAGCTAACACGAAAATTACTTACAAAATGTCGTGTATGACCGGCCCCAAGCAGTTGTCCCTTGGGCACTGCGGTCATGTTCTCAGGTCACTAAGACTTCCTCTAATCCAATTTCCTTTTCAGGTAACTCCGGAAGGACTCTTACACGGTGTGGGCAACCGGGTATTGATAACCGCCCTCATACCTTTAACAGCACTCAAGACGACTGCTGACTGGTTGCTGAATTGTGTTGTTTGATCCATTAAATAGAATTCCTAGTTCAGTGGTGTGTGCATTTTTTGGTATTATATTTTACCAGACTTTCGTATGTTATTACTTTTTTAATTGAAATATAGGCACGTACTCAGTGAATCTAGCTAATTCTCAGTGTTAGGCACTATCCAATAGTATTAGTGCTTCAACTCATTTCGCCTTTAGCTTTGTTAGTTCTTATAATAAATTTAGTCGGGATAATATGTAACCTATAATAGGGGCTCCATGCATTCTAATGGAGCTGTATTTCGCTTGTTCAAATCTCACCATTTTCCTCGATTCTGGCAGCTGAATAGTGTCATAAACACTATTCATACAAATATTGACAGGAAGTCGAATTTATGTGCTTTTGTACATTTCTTTATCACATTTTAGCTTTATTGTCCTGGATGCAACGCTAAAGTTGGCTCTTTCAATTGGTGTGGTAAGTTTGTTTTACTAATAAAATTTATTAATTTAATTGGGAAAACTATTAAATTAATTTAATGTTTATTTTTCACACACTTGAGGTAAGTGTTTACTGAAAGCGATTGTGGCTAAGCACAGAGTACTAGTGGGAAAAACATGTTAGTTGTATGGTGGGCGATTATTATGACGCATATCTATTTGGTGCCTCCTTGCACCAATGTTTATGTGTTTAAATAAATAAATATGTGAGTGATGTGATTAGCTTGTTCAAGCTGAAGTGTCTGGGAATTTGTTTGTCATTCTGATTTTCAGTATTTACCGATGTAGTGGTATTTTGAAAAATAGCTGAAGATAGTCAAACCAGAAAGTTATTTACCATCAATACGAACGGCCTTAATTACTAATGTCTGATGGCATTACTTTTGTGAGAACAAATATTGCACAAAAGTGGATCGGTCGGAGGAACTTTATTTGTTTAACAGCCTAGCAGTATGAAAGAAATTCAAATATATTAAAAACAGGAACGAATTGAGCGAAGAAATTTCTTTTCAATTAGTTTTTCATCATGGCTCTACACTAATATATATACGTTTTACAATAATAATATAATACTCATCGAGTGGATACGTTACGTAATAATTACATAGTGACATTTAAATTAACATTGATTAATTGGAAGAAAGAGGATTATTAATATTCAAAGTGATCAAGAAGTTGCTATGTTGCGTAATGTAAGAAACAAAGAAGGAACAGAATTTTAACGGATGGTCAATAGGATGGTAGTTACGTAAGGATCAAGAGATGAATGTTGAGAAGTTATTAAGTTCATAAGCAACAGAAATAAAAAAAAGTGGAAGAAGTATGAAAAATAGTTCTTTTGAAGGAAATCTTAAACTGATGGCCAGGGCAGGGAAAGTGGTTGTACGAATCTCTTTTGAATGCAAAGGTCAGGTTTGTGAACATGGATTGCGATGGCTTCCGCAATGTGCAAGAGGCGCACTCGTAAACCATGTGGCAAATTAGATGGGATATTGTAGATAACCTTAAAAGCTTTATTCAATTCGACTTGATGACCTGTATCAACCAAGTGAGAGAGAATAGAACTTTTAATCACTTTTACCTGTCCTTTGTTTAACCACGACGGATGATGTTCAGTAATGCAATGACGGACTTGCCGAATTGTACGCCCAATATAACTGGCTCCACAGGAGCAGTTGAAACGATAGATACACATAGATTTGGCGAATTCAGGCAGTCTGTCTTTGTTGGCTGTTCTTATCTTGTGATAGTTGTAGAAGATTGCATTTAATCTGGCAGCATTAAATGTTTTTTGTACGGCTCTTCTTAGTTTCTGAGTCAAGATTTCTTCAATGGTGTCATTTATGAATTGTAATTTTATGAATAGTACCCTATAGACGGTGGGTATCTTTGTCCTTGTTTTCTTCTCCATCATATGTTTGTCGATGAATTTCATGGGATACCCATTCATGCTAAGTAGGTTCCGAATATTATTCATTTCTTCTTCGATGGTGTCTTCAGAGCAAATCATTCTAGCCCGATGTGTCAAGATTTTTATCAAGTTCCTTTTGTATCTGATTGGAACTGCACTATAGAAATGAGTGTATTGTCCTGCTGCAGATTTTCTGTGTACCCCTCTTTTTAAAGTTCCGTCTGCTCTTCTTTTTAGTTGGACATCTAGAAATGATATGCTGTCGTTCTGTTCGTCTTCTGATGTAAAATTAATTGATGGATGAACGTTATGAAATGTATTAAGTAAATTGTCCTTATCATTTTCTTTTTCTAGTACTATGAAGGTGTCGTCTATATAGCGATAATAAGTTGGTAAATGGCTAATTATACTTTTAAGTGGTCCGTTTTCCAGTTTTGCAAGGAAAATATCAGCCAGTAGAGGGCCCAATGGTGATCCCATGGCAACTCCATCTAGCTGTCTATAGTATTCGTTGTCAAATCTGAATTGTGCATTCATTGTGCATCTAAGAATTAACTGTTTTATCGCGGATGCTGGAATCGGGGTTTCTATGCGTCTCTCTGTTAGTTCATTGTAAATAAAATCAACTGTTTCTTGTAGTGGAATGTTAGTGAATAAAGATGATACATCAAGTGATAACATGAAATTATTCTTGACTGATAGATTTTTTATGTTCTCAACAAATTCAAAGGAATCCTTGACACTATGCTTGACAATTTCTCTGTGTAATGGTTTAAGAATTTGCACCAACCATTTTGCTATAGTATGATACGCTGAGTTATTCATATCTAAAACTGGTCGAAGGGGTAAGCCACTTTTGTGTATTTTTGGTAGGCCATATAGTCTTGGTGTCATCGTTCCTGTAGGTTTCAACATTTCGAACATCTTTTCTGAAATAAAACCTTGTTGTTTAATTTCTTTCAGTGAATCTGTTAATTGCTTTTCAATCTTATCTGCGATGTCGTTCTTCACAGCCAGTTTCTGAAATTTGCTTTTATCATTTAAAAGGGCTTTCATTTTGTTTATGTAGTCATTTTTATCCATGAGTACTATTCCATGTCCTTTGTCCGGTTTCATGATTAATAAATTGTCATTAGTTTTAAGTTTTCTTAAAGCTTCTGTATGTTTTTTCGTCAAAATCCCTTTCGTGTTGTGTCTATGATTTAAATATTTAAAACAACAGTCGACCAGTGTTGATTTAAATCTTTCGACATTATCTTTTGATGAAGTTACTAGTTCTGCCGTTTGAGGATAAAGATTTTCGAATTGAATCTCAACGTCCATTTTATTTACTGTTTTCTTGAAGTCACAAAACTTAGGGCCTAATGATAACGCTTCTAACGCAGTTTTATCCAGTATAACACTAGAGAAATTGTGTACGTACTGACCTGGATTGGATGGAAATTTCATTTCTGGGATCTGTTTGTCTAGATTTTTCTTAAGTTTCATTCTTTTCTTTTCCTTTCTTGAGTTAACCACCATCTCCACATAGTCCAGATACTGATCTCTTAATTTATCAGGGAGATCATCTACAGCATGAATTCTCTCGTTGATATTTTTTACCATCTCAGCAATGTATGAGTTTAGAGAATCGATTTAGTTAAGGGCGTAGCGTTTGAGAGTCCTTCCATTTGGTCGAACTCGAGAGCGACGTAAAGATTTCCAATACAACTTTGGGTACAAGTTGGTTTCTATGCATTCCTTTATAAAATCAACATTTGTCATCGCCTCACTGAGCCTTGCGCTATACTTCAGATACTCATTGAGAACCTTTAACGCAAATGTTTGCTCAGAACGTTTCAATATAAAACGTATATATATTAGTGTAGAGCCATGATGAAAAACTAATTGAAAAGAAATTTCTTCGCTCAATTCGTTCCTTCTTTATTTACCAAATGGCAAAATGGGAATTTTCACTAGATTAAAAACATCCGTAAAGCTAAAGCGAAAAAAAACGCATAAAGCGTTCAACATTTTAAAGAAAATCGTCGATGTTTGCTCAGGATACTGAGCTCTGGATCATTTAATTTCTGTTATTCAAAGCTCTCACCTCAGGAAGTTTACACTTCCATGCGTATCTCGAAACAGCAGTGAGTAACCCCATAAGTTGGTGTAATGTCCTTGTTTATGGAAACACCTGTGATGGCTGTAGATAATGGTGGTGTCAATCTCTTACCTGGAGAAAGACTTATCGACCTTGAGTATGCGGATTATATTGTTTTACTGTTCAATGATACTCAAGCCATGCAATCCGCATTTACTCAGTTGGGAATAAGTGTCCGTAGATATGGTATGTGCTTTGCACCTTCAAAGTGCAATGTACTTTTACAAGGCTGACAGGACACTGATTCTTTTCTCACCCTGGGTAGTGAGCAGATAGAAGTAATCAAAAAGTTGGTGTATCTGGGTAGCTGCACAGCTACTAGTGGTGGCCCCCAGATGCCCTGGTACGGCCGAGAGTGGGGAGAGTCCGTTCTCCCTCTCGAAATGCTCTCACATGGCCACGCGTATATAACCTCTGCCAGGGAAGTCCTACTCATTGCCTTCTCGTGGCGGGGTGTTATCGACGAAATTGAGAGGATGAAAAGCGAATGTCCGGCGCTTTAACCGGGTTGGTGGACATGAAGAGTCCACTTAGGGGAGTTGGAAAACCCTGATTCCAAACCAATGGTGCACATGGGCTCTAGTATCCTGAAGAAACAAATGGTGTATGAACCAACTGTTCGTCACTGGCTACCATGGGACTGCTTCTCCTTACGGTGCTCCACTGCCTTGTGGATCAGACCTTCAGGTCGAAGGCTCTGGGTGTGGCCCCATAAGAAATCCACCTGGTTCGGTTTGGTCACTCAGGCAATATCACAGCCCTCACTCATATCAAATGAGATTTGTGTGGCGCATATGTATTTGTTGCCTCCTTGTACTAATGTCTATGTGTTAAAATAAAATAAATAAATAAATAAAATAAATGAGTGGTGGTGTGAGTAATGAGACCGATTCACGTATAGTGAGAGCCAGAGCGGCTTATGCCAATCTGGGCCATCTTTGGCACTTTCATGATGTTAGTTTGGCTGTAAATGGTCGGATCGACAACGCTTCGGTGAGAACAGTCTTGTTCTGTGCTTGTGAAACCTGACCTTTGCGTGTATGGTCATTGTTATTGCCGAAGGATTGTTGACATTCAGTGACAACACCATATTATTAATGTAGAAGTTGGGCATCGTGTGTTCGTGTACAGCGACGACAATTCAATTAGTGTCACTTTCTTGAAACATCGATTTCGGTGGTTCGGACATGTTCTACAAATGTCGTCCCACAGGATTCCACGTGATGCATTATTTGCCGATGCTGGGACTGGTTGGAAAAAGCAGAGTTGGTTAGTGTATGAAATGATGTCGTGGTGTGAAAGAAAGCTATACAGGACTGGCTTCTGTTGGTCCTTCACAACTCCCTGGTTGGGGTCTCAGATTTATTGCAACAGAGTGGCTAGAGACGTTATCAGATATGACTCAGAATAGGAGCCAGTATCAATCCTACTGTAACTTCATTTTGCTTTTCTTAAAAAATGGACGTAACTTCTTTAACTGGAATAATTCTCTCTGGCTGTACTTTTCCTAATTGAACTGTTTCTCCTGTTATTATTATTTTACTCTCATATACTGATTTCTGTTCTTTGTTGTTCTCCTCTTTCCTATATGCACTTTACATTCTCTATCTCTTCACAACTTCATTATTATTGTGTGGTGGATATGTATTTGGTGCCCCTTTATACCAATAGCTATGTGTTCAAATAAAAATAAATATTTGTGGTCAGAGAAACATAAACTAAAAACATTTAATGAATAATAGATTAAGTGATATACACACACTTTTTTTAAAAAGTCAGGGTTATAAGAGAATAATTGATGAAGTCAAAATGTGACTTAAATTTTATTACTATTTGCAAAAGACGGTTATCATTTGAACCAATTTTCTCTTGTCCTTCAAATAAGCTATCTCATCATACCATCACACAGAAAAGTCTAATGCTACACTATTTCTGAAGCTAAGGTTCAAGCTATGTATCATTAAAATGTATTATACAGCCAAATTCGTCATTACTGAAGGAGCAAAACTCATGCTTTCCCCTTAAACATCATCATCAAACAGATGTCATGCTGGTAGGTGCAAGTTACCTGGCTGAGTGGGGTTTGTACAGTTATTTTGACTGATAAGGAGAAATGGGTGGTGACTAGCAGTGGAATCCAGAACGCACGTTTTGTCTTATTTGGGACTCGTCAGCTAGATTCCACTGCTGACCACCATCCGTCTCTGCTTATAAAGCTTGTTACTTAGGGCAATATCGTGGCAGTCCGCACATGATGCACATATGCCAACAACAGACTGATTAATTGAAGTTCCTAAACAACAATGGGAAGATACAAGCAAACAGTACTAAATGAATTTAAACTTCACCCGATTGCACAAGCAGGTGGCTATCAGGACTCAGTAGTTAGGTGGATAACGCGATGGCATTTGAAGCGAGTGGTACTGGGTTCGAGTTCCAGGGTGAATGTCAACTCTGGGATGCAGGCACATTCGGTTGACGAGTTCCCAATAGGACGACACGCACGTCCTAAATTCTACTGCCAGCGTCCATCCATCTCTGTTTATAAAGCTTGTGATTCAAGGCAGTATCGAGTTAAGCCACACAGGGCGCACATATGCCAATACGAAACTAGTTAATTGCAGTCCTAAACATCAATAGGCAGATTCAAACAGCCATTACAAAATGAATTATCGTGAATAATGATTGAGACGTTTTAGTGACATGGCTCATAATCGGTCTTAATGGCGCATATACATTCTCTGTTTGTCTTCCCTTAGACCATGAGCTCCATAGTTACCTTGTATCTTTTATCCTCTAAATTCATTCTTCTGAAATCGTATTATCTTTGTCTAGTGTATCTTTAATGTCACTGATACTATTACTACCACTAATTCTATCTTGGTAACAACTTAAATCGATGCCAGGTTCTACGTTGCATATGATCACACAAATAGTTGAGTCAGTCCAAATGGGTGTGTACACTAATTCGTATTAGGAAGTAATCGAGTTATGGCTTCAGTCAGATAGCCATTATCAACGTGTGACGTGTCACGAGCGTGCATTTATACAAGTTGCCACATTTCAGATCAGGACATGGCGGCTAAATAAACAAGATGATGAGCAGGTGGTAGAAGATGATATCGATTGTGACGGAACGCTAAATATAGTAAATACAGTTAAAAAACAAAAGCTATCAAAAGGTAGAAAGTCGGAAGTAATACTTAACTCAAAATTTGGAGCAACATAATGAATAAATGCAACTGGGCAATTATTACGTGTTCTACGCCATGTCACCCAATGTTTCCAAACATTAATCAGATTATTTGTGCGGACCTTAACCAAGTAGTGTCTGGATCTATTAACATAGGTCCCCAACAATCATTGATTTCATGGACTGATATTAAGTCTTGGTTTGGCCGCCATAACTTCCAACCTTCCACTACTTCAGCCAACATCTTTTAACGAACTAGGTAATATTTGGTGTACGTAACATGTTCCATCCATAGCCTCAGCAAAAGATTTGCTACATTCGTTCAGTACTGTGAATTTGACCCCAGTATTGTTCACTCAGTTTTTTCTGAGATACGGAAGTAATACTTAGAAGACACTTATAGTTAAAAGCCTGTAGTATACTCATTTGTTCTATTCCCATAAACCATACTTAGCAGCCATATATTATTCTAGAGAGGATTGTTGTGCACTATGCTCTCTCCTCATTTTCCATCCAGTCATCCTACTTACGTCAAATGTGACGTAGGTTGTTAAAAACTGCGGGAAACTTTGAATCCGTGCTCAGATTGTATCAGATGTTAACCTTTTGGGGTTGCTTAGACTTTCAAGATTAGTAAACTAGTCATCGCTTGACTGCTTCACCCCTCACGGTTATTCTACGCTCTGACTCAGATTAGTTCTAAGCAGGAGTTCGAATTTACCAGGAGAGGAACTAATCCTAAACAACTTGCATTGTATGGGCTATCAAAAGACTTGATTTTGTCTGGGTCTTTTCCTATCAGAGTGATATCGTCTGCGTATTGCAAGTCGCCAATTAAATCTTTCGTTAATTAGAATAGTTTTTTATAAGTTAGAGATATAAAGTATTATTATTATTAATATAATATCTTTGCAGAAGTTTCATAAATATGAATATAATTGGGAGTCTTGAAGAACATATAATTTTACGGATTTGGATTTGTTCAACTAAATAGCTTTCACAAAGTTTATGTACTTTTTTAGCCAACGCTTTAGTCAGAAAGCTTGCTACACAGTTCATCAGTCGATGGAATCAGATGCTGCCTTCAGGTGTGGAAATGCCACTATTGTTAGATGTCAGAAATTAGACCTTTGTTCTACAACTTCATAGAAGTTGAATACTTGATCAAAACACTCAAATCCATATCCGAAACCTCCGTGATTTTCTCAAATTTGTTGTTCACAAAGATTAATTCAAAGCAAGCTCCATAATTTCTTTACGCAAGATGTCAGAGGCTAGCTCTTAAATTTATAAGACCTCTAACCTTCAAGAAACTCGTACACCTATGTGTGGGAAAATAATTTGTTTTTATCAATAAGTCTACCTAAGTCTTTAACCCATTGTTTATTAACTGGATGAATGTACCATATTTTTCACTTTTCAAACCTATTTGATGTCTTGTCGTTTTCACATATAATACCTTTACAACAGAAGATTTAAACCAAATTGTTTAAAAGGTGTACTAAACGAATATACCAAGTTTTTCATGATATATGTATATATATTCAAAACAAAACTTTATTTTCATTGATTTATTTAGGCGAACCATGTGTATGTGGCACATGGGTAGTTCCAGCATTTCATTTCAATCGTAATCACATTGATCGTGTACCAATACGTTCGAGAAATGTGATTACTATTCCATCGAAGCCTGTAGAAGACAACAATTCCTTCGTTACGAATACCGATATGAATCAATCATAATCTTATCCACTGTATCTTTCCTCTATCCTATATTGTTCTGTCTTCTTTGTAATATATGAGCGCGCATTTACATCAAACTGATAGTTTTCTCAAGTTTCCTCCTCTTTCCTTAAATACAATTTAATATTTTCAAGAGATTTATTTCTTGTGATTTATTTGATTACTATGTATATTTCCCACTTTGTTTTAGAATAGTTGGATCCATTCGTTGTATCAATAAAACTACATTCTGTTTCATGAAATTCTTGTGTGTGTTTTTTGTCAAACAGTTGAGATAATAAGCAATAGTACCTGTTCTGTGGGTGGTGACATTGATATTGATATATTGCAAGTGTTTAACAAAAACCTAATTGATATGTACAAAAATATTAATAATCTAACATCGCTACATGCAATCATCCTGAAGATACAGATGTTTATTAACAGTTGTCTACGCAAAATACTTCGGATCCGTTGGCCGGACACTATTAGCAACAACCAACTGTGGGTGAAAAGAAACCAGATCTCAGCGGAGGAAGAAGCGCTGGAAGTGGATAGAACACACATTGAGGAAGGCATCCAACTGCGTCACAAGGCAAGCCCTCACATGGAATCCTCAAGGCCAAAGGAAAAGAGGAAGAGCAAAGAACACATTACGCCAGGAAATGGAGATAGACATGAGAAAAATGAACATGAATTGAATGGAATTAGAAAAGAAGGCCCAGGACAGAGTGGGTTGGAGAATACTGGTTTGCGGCCTATGCTCCATTAGGAGTAACAGGCGTAAGTAAGTAACATCGCTACATCCATTTTCTGTCGTTTATTGTCAATCTAAACTCTTTGATCAATCATGTTCGAATCTATCAGTCAGTCAGTCAAAAACAACTAAGGAGCTGAGGTAATACAAAGCAAATTATTGCTACAGTGTAATCACGGTTTGACAGGCGGAAGATGAACTCACTTATACCAGTGAGATTTCTACGACAGGTGAAGAGCCAACACGCATACACATTTTACTCCGTATGGTTTGCCTAAGATTTTGGGCAGATCAATACTAAAATAAGATTTATAAATCCATTTCGAACGTATTTATTATTCAAGATGTACAAAACGAGTTTTGTCATCTACATCAAATAAGACTCATCTATTTATAGGGGGTTGTGGAGATAGTCGTGGTCGTAGATATGCACAACTGTGTACCTCCATACTTAGATAAAACGGTTGTCCGGTGCTTCCAGCTTTCTAATAGTAATCTAACTTAGATCGGTTCATGGTTTCAAACACATGCTTATTGTAAGTTGATCATTAAATTTCATGATAGGAAGTAAATCCTTAAAATTTTAGACAAAGAACGTGTTACCCCTTGAAGTATTTCTCTGAGAAAATTAAATAAAAAGGGAGGGAGTGCATGGTTTTGACTCAGGCTAAGTCAAATGATATTTTCTAGTTGATGTTAATTTATGACGGAAGCTGTCATGAAATTAACCGAACTTACACGAACTGTTGCAAATAAATAGGAAGTTGAGATATACATTTGTGGCAGCGTTACACTTACATAAGCTTGTTGACAGGACTTATTTAAAGCTCAACTTTCGTTTTGAAATTAAGTGTCATTCATAGTCCCATTAGTTTATTTGGGCGAATGGCTATTGGATCTGACCGATCTTTCGTTTTTATATATATGTAAATGCTTGTATGTATATATTCAGACAGTAATGTATACATTGGTTTGATTTACAAATTAAGTTCTCATTCCATTTATTTATCCACTCAAATGGTTTGATCTGCTAAATCTTTATGCGTGATATATAACCATCCTTAATATACCTCGTATTCAACTTCTTGTATCGAGTTGTTAAGTAAACTTTGTCACTCAACGGGATCAATCTAATAAAGTATATGCAATTTCTCATTGGTTTCGAATAGGGTTAGCACAGAGACAGTCACTGTTTGTAAGGTCTTGTTATTTCAGTTGTGAAGTTCAATGACAAAATTTTTTGTTTATTTTGATAGTTAAATCTTTCGGGAGAAGGAATCTATAAGAAATATAACTTAGATAGTGAGTTTCTGAATTTACTATTGCTCACACTCGTACGGTTGTCAATATATATATATATATATATATATATATATATATATATATATATATATATATTGACAGAACAGGTAGAATACCAAGCTAACAACCTGACAATTTCTGACTAGTCTGTTATAAGGTCAATCTAGAACATTGAACATCATTAAATTAGATGTGGACAGATCTGGCAACTAATGTGGTGACAGTTAAAATAAACCTACATGTACTTTTTAATATTCAAGATATGTCATCAGTCGTGATAGATTTATCAAACATACTAGTTTGACGTTGTCCTGAAATAGTCTACTGGTAAAATACATCGAAACTGTTCTTTTCAAACAGATTAATGCGACAAACTTCTTTCAGTTAAAAAATTCTGATCATCTATTCGCCTATCAAACCTTTCAAAATTGTATTTGAACGCGTTTGTTCTGCTATGTTCATAGACTATAAACAGTTTACGAAAGCACTTCATGAGAAGTTAGCGGTAGTCACATAAGACTCATTATTAATTAAGATGCTTGACGTTAGAATCAGGCAGTCATTTACTTGTTTGGATATATACAATAGATTTGATCATATAATGGTTGACATAGTTTGACTGTTAAATCTATGTAGTGGTTTTACTTGTCTGTTAACATATCAATAACATCAGATGACAAAGTTTTGTATCTTTTAAGGCCATAACAACAGGCTACTGATAAGCATACTTTTCATGTTATGGGTTTCAATTGTGCCTAGCATATTGGAAGTAAATGTGAACAGTTCAATAGCTGTTATTTGTCCAATAATTGGTGGAATATGTAAAATATAAAAGAGTTCGGACTCTATTATTAATTGTGACCAAAGAGCAATCACAAGTAATTCGTTCAGGTTTCGACTATAGCTTTTATCTTGACGTGGTGGTCGGGCTTGCTTGTCAAGATGAACCAATCGAGATATACTGTCTGGAACAGTCGTATCTCAAGATAATATCACGCCAGACAGGTTGGTTAAACAACAGTAAGACTAAAAGCAGCAAATCCAAGGTCCGACAGTGAAGTCGTACTGCTGACGGTACAGAGGTATGGCAGCAGTAAGGTGTTTCCTTTAGACGACCAGCATAACACCGATGCCCCCCTTACCACTAAGAAAGAGCGAGGTTAGAAAAGGTCGACCCTAAAAATGCACACCTCGCCTTATTCCACGGATATCCGTCTCCGGCGGTAAGGTTTCCACAAGTACGGAGCTAAAACAAAAATGACCTATACAAGGGTCGTGTGTGACCAACCTCAAGCAGATAGCCCTTGAGAACTGTAATCATTCTCTCAGGTCACTAACACCAAATTTTCTTATCATGTACTTTTAGAAAAACACTTCCACAGCGTGGGCAACCAGGAAGTGATAATCGCCCTCATATCTCTAACAGTACTCAAGGCCACTGTATTCATAACAAATTCCCCTCTTCAATTCCTTTAAATGCTCCCACTTCGGCTTTCAACTCTGAACTTCCTCTTCAAGTGTCACCACGGTCAACGATTCTAGTGTGCAAAACATTGTCCCAGGTATACTGAAACCTCGCTTTACACTACACATTGGAGCCTTCAACATACTCATCCTGTGTCAAATCGGTCAGCAGGCCTCCTTGGCTAAAATTCTAGGGTCTCGTACCATTGATGTATGCTGTGTCTTCGAAACACGCATACAGGATCCTAGTGTGGTCATTTACATGACCTTACCTCGCCAAAAAAGGAGCCGATGAGATACACCCTCCGTTTATCTGGCGACCCGACGTTGAATTCTCATGGACTTGCTGGTTGGAGACTGCGTGACATTACTCAGAATCGATCAAAATGGTGTAGGTGTATACACTCTGTCTTCCCTTAAACCCTGAGATTAAAATTACTACATATCTTTCTTTCTCTGATCTAATTCTTATATGCAATCTTTCTTTTACATATCACCTCCACAGAATTAACTACTATGAATTCGGTGTTCATCATGTAGTCAATTTATACTTTGATAGGCAATATGAATACTAGTGAGCTCGGTCGTATTGAATTGTATTTGTCAAATATTGAACTTCTCTATACACGACAATATTTATCACCATTATTTATGTTATTCTAATGGTTTTTACAAGTGTTCCTTCAGTTTGTAAATATGTTTTATAGATAGATATTAACTAGATAGCTGGAACCTTAAATCTAAGGGGTTGTTGGAATCAAATACTTAAAACTGAAACCATAATCGACTTATCTTATTTTTAATTCATTAGATTATACAAAATTTATTATGATTTAATTATATTTTAAACAATAAATATAATTAAATCATGAGGAGGATGGCCAATCAACTGATGACGTAGTGAAACTTCATCAGTTGAGATGGCTGGGACACGTGTTACATATGCCCAACTACCGACTGTCTCGACATGCGATATTTTATGATGTAGAAGGTTGGAAGAAAGCTAGGGGCGGCCAGACCAAAATATGGCACGAATCGATGAAGTCACTGACAAGTGAACTGAGTCATGTTGGTAGGTGTAGACTACCTGGTTGGGGACCGCGAGATGATGGTTAGAGACCTTGAATGATATGGCTCAAAATCGTTTGCAATGGTGCAAGTACATCCACTTCTTGTGATCTAAATTCTAATCTGAATTCTTCATGTTCCTTGTTTCCTCTTTCCAAATTTATTTCACTGGATTATACTCTTTAAATAACATCTCCAAACCCTAATCTTCCCGATTACTGCTTATACTCTTATTACCTCTACCACTGCGGGATTTGAATCGACAAGTGCATCTCTGTGCTAATGTGGTGTGGCAACTCGAACTGATGTACGTACGTACGAAGTTCTACGTTGTTGTTGCTGACCGACTGACTAGATTTTAAACTAATATACTGTCTACTTATAAGTAACTTAAAGTTATTTCTCAAGTAATTGAAAAGTTTCTAATGTTGATTTTTTGTATCTGTGATATGAAACTAGAATACCTAGACTTACAATTATTCATATGTAATATGTGCGTATGTGCTGTGAGAAGTCTATTCTTCAGAAAAATTGTTTATTCAATATAAGTTCTACTCACGTACGTCAATCCTAAGATTCCCAATTAGAAGAATGACGTAATAACTTGAAATCAACAATTGTTTGTTAAATTTTCTAAAGATTGTGTCAGTTATTTCATGGTAATTCATCAGATATGTGAGCTTATCGTCAAAGTTGGGATGTGCGTTGAAGATGGTAATAAATGATGTGAAAAATTGATACTGTAATCTAGACCTTATACGATTCATATTGAAACTTCCCTCAGATTCTCTAAGTGAAATTGACGGACCGATTTTTTCACAGATCACTCCGAATCTCTTTAGCATAAGAGATGGTTGTTTTGGGAACCTCGACTTTATTGATAAGTCATAATCAGATAAATTAGCACTGAAGATTCTTGGCGAAGTATGATAATTTAAATATTATCAGTGTAGGGTTGTGGAGATAATTAAGTGTTTGATTGAGATCATGAACCGATTGATGTTAGACCACCATTGAAAACCTGGAAGCACTGGACGGCCGTTTCGTCCCATTGTGGGACTCCTCAACAGTGCGCATCTACGACCCCGCTCGCAGGAAGCCGTGACAGGTATCTAACTCAATATAATAGGAGATGGTCGCGCAATTTCGTGGATTGGTTGGTAGTAGAAGTTAACATCTTTGAATGCCAGCTGAGTGGTCTAGAGGTTAAGCGTTCGTATGCGAGACTCAAGGCCGTGGGTTGGAATCTCGCGAAGTGGGATCGTGGACGCGTACTGCTAAGGAGTCTCAAAACAAGATGAAACGTCCGTTCAGTGCTTTCAGATTTTCAACGGTAGTCTAACATCAATCGGTTCATGATCCGAATCAAAAACTTAATAATTTCTACAACCCTATACTGATTACTGTTTTTTTTAAGCTAAATAAATTAAAATTCTCTTCTAAGCAATGACCCCATAGAAATAAGAAATTAACTTTCTATGATCCCAATTGAAGTATAAATGGAAACCACAGAGAACTGATCAGTTGCTTCATCCTATTGTGGGACATGGTAACAGTCCACACCAATGACCTGACTAGGAACATTCTATGATAAGTACAATCCATGAATTTAAATCAAATTATTTTCGCTATATAAGATCACCTATATCTTACTAACTGGTTATTCTACTTTATAACAACTAAAAAAGTTTGTGACTGAGGGCAATATCGTGGCAGTCCGCACATGATGCACATATGCCAACAGTAGACTGATTAATTAAAGTTCCTAAACAACAATGGGAAGATACAAGCAAACAGTACTAAATGAATTTAAACTTCACCCCATTGCACAAGCAAATGGATATCAGGACTCAGTAACTAAGTAGATAACGTGATAGCGTTTGAAGCGAACGGTACTGGGTTCGGGTTCCAGGGTGAATGTCAACTCTGGGATACAGGTACATCCGGCTGATGAGTCCCAAATAAGACGAAACATGCGTCTTAGATACCACTGTTAGCCACTATCCGTCTTTGCTTAAAATATCCACTGTAGACTTTATAATGTAATCATCCCTAGATTGGCTACATACCAGCTCGAAAGATAAAACACAGATCTTACATCATTAACTCAGTAATAATAGAAGTAAACATTACAAAATAAAATTTCATTATTATTGTAATTAATAATAAACAACTTTTTTTTAAGAGACGCGCATATTTGTTCTTTGTTGATCCATGAAAAAAGGGATGTAGACCGATATTTATGTATAAATTAATAATAATAATAAAACAACAACCACAGTAACAACAACAGTGAAATACAAGAATGTTTGTTTCAATGTTTAGTTTTATCAATTGGGATGTAATTGTTTTGTTTGTGTGTGTTTATATATGTGTAATGAATAACTTTCATCAATTCACATTGACTTACATAAAAATTAAACAAATACACATTGTATGCATATATATATATATATGTAGGATAAGAGGACTTACTTACTTACTTTACTTATGCCTGTTACTCCTTGTGGAGGAGTATAGTCCGAGGATAAGGGGAATTAAGTAATTGATTATAAATTGAAGGCAACTATTGGATGATATACAATAATAAATTAAATTGAAGAAAAAAAACGATCAAATTATATCAATAAATCAAATGAGAAGATTTACTGAAGAGAAAACAAAAGGAGACAATAATTGAATAAAACACAAATTACAAATAATAATAATCATAATAATAATTGCAGTATTTGTTTAAATAAAGCAATTGTATTTGATATTTTATAGAAGGTGCACCGGATTCATCAAAGTTACATAATCAAAGAAACTCATATAGGAGATGATACACGCCTAGTGACGATCAATGAAGAATTAAATTGGAGGCGGGGTGGGGGGGGGGCAAGGGAATGCATAATACTTTAGTAGATAGATTTACAAGTATAATAATAATAAGCAATTTGTTGAACATGAATAAACAACATCAGATGATCCAGTAACATCAGTTTAACCGAAAATAACAATCATAATAATGAAATAAAACCCAATTTAAAAAAAACACAATAAGAAACAACATTGAGAGATCAAAAATACAAAAGAAGAAGAAGTTAGACAATTTCTTTTAGTTGTTGTTGAATTCATTAAAAGTAGGAATGTTAATATTGTCATAACAATAATTGAGATAATTATGTTATGTAATAAATAGATAGGATATTTATAATGAAGTCCATCTATAGCTTTTCTAGAGTTACTATCAGTCCCAAGCCCGGATAAAAGAGGAGAATTGAGCATGGGGTTAGCGATCTCATCTTGTAGAAAACTAACTCGTTAAAAAGAAAAAAAAACGCTAACAAGAACTATTCATCATAATGATTACAATTAAAAATAGAAGAGAATGGTGGATAGATTCAATGATAGAAGGATTAAGAAAGTGTATATATCACACCTATTGCATATACATTTGTGTACATTATAATGATATACTTTGTTTAAAATAATGATGGTTATGTAATTGAATATCTGAATAACTTCATACATTCATTCAATTGTATATTTGATAGACATGCAAAGAAAAAAACAAACCATTAACTCAGTCAGTCAGTAACAACGTAGAACTTCGTACGTACGTACATCAGTTCGAGTTGCCACACCACATTAGCACAGAGATGTAGTCGTTGAAACCATTAACTCATATATAAATGACAAAGAAAAGGCCCGAAAAACAAAACAAAACATCCTGTAATGATCAATAATAATCAGTATTCATACTATTTAATTAAAGTAAACAGTTATATTGTCCTATTTTACTTTTGAGCTTTATTATTATGATGATGATGATTAACAAGATCACCGAAAAAGGAATGAACTTTGGTGATGTTGAATAAAAAAAGGAGAACAGAACAATAACACAATCATCACCAGAACCACCACCACCACTAACCAACATCAACACCAAAAAAACCCACACAACATATGTGACCAATAACTAATCGTTTAACATTGAAACAAAATAAAAATGTTTTATTTTAAAAAGTAAACCAGAATAAAATGAATAAAACAAAATGAAAAATTGAAAGGAAGACCGTGAAATGAATAGATCATTTTTCTTTTTTTTGTTTTAGATATCAAAATAAACAATGACCGGATCATTGTGAGCATTAGTAACCACCTTTTTTACTGCTTAATGAATCCATATTAATACATTACAATAATGAATAATAATAATAATAATAATCCAAATATGATTTATACAAAAAAGGGAAGTTACACACACACGCACGCACATACGTGCACGCACATGGAGAGAAAGTATGAGTCAAAGTGAGAATTAGGCACAATAGTGTGAATGACATATTCATCTAATATATATTCGAAATATCTAAATGAAATAATTCGATTGAATAATTGATAGAAAATATCAAAAATATATTGTAGATTTTATAGTAAGTATTATTTCAGACAACAACAACAACAACAACCATAACTACTGTTATTGTAGGCATTCATTTCAGAATTGATCTTCAAGGTACCTACTCTACTGTTCCTACTCTTACCTCCTCTCCCTTTTTCTCTTTATCTCTCTGACATCTGAATAAAAAAAACATCACTTATTTACTTATGATTCAATAAAAATACATTTAGAAAAATATAAAGAAATAAATAAAATGGAAGGCTAATAATACAACAGCACAACCGAATTACAGATGAAGAAATTGAAAGAATAATATTACCCGGTAACTAACTGTATGTAGGGGGTAGCTGTTAGTTGATTAGTTGTTGTTGTTGTTGATGATGATTTGCTTATTTTCTCACATTCACATACATAAAGACAAGTAGACAATTTGAATCAAGTATTATAATTTTTAAAAAAAAGAAGAAATCCATTTACATAGTAACCATAAAATGTATGCCTATGGATCATTGGAAAATATTGATATACACGATGTATTAGATAGATTACATGAACCATTGATATTATTTACTCCATTAGTCATTGTAATTATTGGTGATGATGATGGGATTGTTTTGATATGATTAACAAGCGGATAAATTTGAGGATAGTTCACAACATCAGATTGATCTAATAATGTAAATGAATCATCCAAAGATGTTTGTAGCATACAATCATATTCCCCATTGACATCATCACCGATACCACTTAAGCTCATACCATTAGGTGATAAATTTATCGGTGGAAGTTGATTAGAATCTGTTGTTGATGAACAACAATCATCATTGGTAATATTCATTTGATAAATATTATAATTTGGTGTACATGGTTGTTTTATACCATTTAATGAATGAGATGAACATGATGATGTTGATGTTGAATTAGCTGGTCGTTTACGAGTTTTTCTTGTACCTGATCGACTAGATGAAATAGCAGCAACTGGTGATGGTGTATTATTACAATCAGAATTTCCATCTATACATGAATTTCCATTGGAATTAGGTATACGACCAAAACGTCGTTCATCTTTACATTTCTGTGCCATACGAGCACGTACAGCTGCGGCTGGTTTATTGAATCGTCGACGGATTGTAGCTGAATAAAGTTTAAAAATATATAAAGTAATTGCTTTAAATAATAGTCATTTTAGTTATCTAAATAAAGTACAGATATATGAACGCAAAATAGTCTGCTCAATTAATTCCCATTAGGTTCCAAAAATAGATACTACTATCATTGTGGGTATCATCAAGAAATTATCAATAAAATGCACTATGTATATAAAATTCAACGGTGAAATTTCTACACAAACATTTGATGTCACCATAGGTTCACCACTACGTCCCATATTGACTGACATTTTTCTCACTACAGTAGAAAACGGTTTACTGGCACGGTATATTGACAGGTTTCCATTTTACTGTAACTTCACCTGTACTCCTACGTTTATTGCCGTTCCGAATTTCAGATAAAGGAGGAGGGGTGACCATGGTGTCAACAAGCCCATCGCCTAGAAAACTACCTTGCTAAAAAACGCTAACCGAAATAGACCATTTAAACTCTGCCCTACAAGTTGAAGGATCATCATTCACAGGAATTGTGGGTATGGATATATCATGGAATGACATAGAATAACTGGGAGAAAAAAAACTAAAATAGTGAGAGCTTTTCAAATTTATATCCCTTCAACAAAGTTATGGGTGGCACTATATTCCTTTACAAACACGCACAAGGTTAAATGGGCTTCACCGAACGACACTGCAGAGAATCATATCGATCATATATACAGATGAAACTGAAGCTAAAGAAGCACTGAACAACCGTAGAAACAGCATCTCATATGTTTAATACAGTCTTCTTTTGAGATACCGACAAACTCAAAGAATTTAAGATACGTCTTAGCAACAGATTCCAAGCCTCACAAGTTCTACTCTAAAAAGAGGAAACTAGTGTGCATAACAATTGAGAACGGATTAAGGAAGCAATAATTGCAACATGCCACAACGTAATGAACCGAAACAAGCACCAATATATAAGGTAAAACTCAATAGACATACTAGGAAAGACGCAACAACGAATAAATAAAAAGACAGTGATCAACAATATTTGAACAAGAGCAGAGAAGTCAAGGAACAGGCGGAATACATAGAAGCAAATAAGTGAGCGAAGAAAAGCATTAAACCTGACAAGCAGAAATGCGTGGAAGATCTTGCAGTTACAGCGGAAAAAGCTTTAAGATATGGAAACACGAGACAGTTATATAATACACCGGAGCAACTGAATGGAAAACATGAGTAGACCAGAAAGACCAGTTAAATAAAAATAAGGCAAGCCAATCACTGAAACTCAAGAGCAGTGAGATAGGTAGGTAGAACACTTTGAGGAACTCTTGGATAAATCCGTCCCATTAAAACCACTGGACATCGAAGCAGCACACACAAACCTTCTTATAGATTTCGCTCCATCAATGGTCGAAGCAATCAGGAGTGGGAAAGCATTGTTTTCCTTTGTACTATTTAAACTTGTGTTAATTTAATTTGGTTGTTTATTTACTCTGAAAAAGCGGCTTATATTAAGTTACAAAACGTCAGAAATGTAAATTTTTCTACTCGTTGGCATATAGCAAGAAATACACTTACTATTAATATTCTACCCGATTGTCAATGCATTTGAAACTATCAAGTCCAACCTTGGCATTGATACCAATATTACACAAACGCTTTGACATTTTAGGAAATAAAAAATATGGAAATTTGCACGAACAAAAATAAAAACCAACTCAATGTTCTTTAAAAAGATATTTATTCTCACTTTATCGATACACTGAATTTCTTCATATCCCTCACCAGTTTAGATTAGCATGAATGTTGTTATAGGTATGTGGCTAGTTGTCACTTACTGGTTATTTCCATCGTGGAAAGATATATATTATTGAGAGACCTGAACAAGAAACTGATTTAATAGTGATTTTGTCTAGTTGGGAAAGATAACACAGAACTTAAGGAACAGCTGTTGGGTGCCGATTACGTACAACTTTTTGTTAGTAATTTTGGTTTTACAACCATACTAATCAAAGTTGAGTCCTAGCGACAAAAGGGTGATGTGCTATTCCTTGCGTCAACATTTGTTAATTGAGGTAGCTGTATTGAATATCTATGGGATTTTGTTCAATATAGCTTTTTAAAAATCAACTCATTCATTAGGTGCTTGGGTGTAAGGTAAACTCGAAGTGTGAGGGTTAATCATACTACTCATTCGCCCAAACGGAAGTGTAAATGAAGCAAGGTTCAAAATTTGGACTTAGTGGCTAAACGTGAAACTCTTTAACTACTAGGGCACCGCTCCAATTGACTCGATTATTTTATGATATTAAATCGATTCATTATACACGTCAAAGATGATTAGCGCAACATGTTTTATTTCTTTTATTTTTACAATAGTTCAGGCACTAAGTTCATAAGCACATACATGTAAACGATTATTAATTCCAGTATTTTATCTGATTACATTTCAATCACTGATGTCAACCAGTACTGAGAATGTATCATCAATTTAAGCAAGTTGTATTCACATGGTAACAGAGTTATTTACTTTCTGTCTTTTCTTACAGTAAACTTATCCATTGTATACATTACACACATCCTGTTACACAAACATTATAATGTATATACACGTAGAACATCAAACAAACATGCTGGTCAATCCTATAAAGTGGACCGTTTACGACACAACAATGTTATGCATGTAAACATTAAGGTCATATTAATGTGTATCTTAGATGAACACTTAGTCAGAGGTTAAGGTTATTTGTTGTTCGCTAGCACCAGCATCACTTTTCTTTATTTAGATATTCACATGTACATTAGTATGTGTGGTCATTGTCTACAGAACTTTATATATCACATATACACACAAAAAAAACACAACACGAAACACCATTCACTAGATTATTCATGAATTTCCACAACGATTGAAAGAAACATGTGTATGCGGGACGAAGTTGGAAAGGATGAAGTTTAAAATCGATTTAATGAGAATTCACATACACACTCATACAATAAATAAAGGTCAGAATTAGTTATCAACACTATAGACTTCTGTATTTGTTTGAGGTTAATAAGAGAATGGATGATGGTTAAAAAAAAAGTGTCAACAATAAGTTAGAAAAACAAACTGTATTTGTAGTATGCATGGACTATATGTATATACCATTCAATATTAACTCATCATATTGATATCATTTTGATTCGGTTTTCTTCCTCATAAATTTGAGGAATTATTTTCTTAAAGACAAGCAAATAAATACGATCTACTACATTAGTATAATTAGGTTGCAACAAAATGAAAATGTATGTACTCTTATTGATGCAGGCATATGCAGCTGATAAGTCCCAAATAGAATGAAACATATGTCCTGGATTCAACTGTTGGCTAAAATCTGTCTTTTTTAAATATCTTTATTGGAGTTCATCAAAAGCACTAACTAAGATAATTTAGTAGATGAATTCATCAGTCAATTGAAGCTAGATCATCATGGAAAACCTTGAAGCACTGGAATTCATCTACTAAATTACTATAATATATCCACAAAACCCCCCTCTGACTAAATAAGGTGCTGATCATTCTTGTGAAATTGATTTGCCTATTGAATTATTAAATCATCAGTATATAAACAATAATATGAAGCTGATTGTGTTATACACAACGATGTGTAGACGTTCCAGAATAAGACTATATAAAAAGGCATAAAACAAAAAAAATAGTTGAGTGGACAATCGTTTTCGATAACTTCTGCTTCTCGGATCAACAATTATAAGTCCATAATTCCTGCATTATATTGACCAAGATAAGGTAAATATTTAAACCGTGGTCGATGTAAAAGTTCATCAATGTTTTGACAGCTAACAGTTGGAAGACTTCCTAGTCAAATTTCTAGTGACACAGAAACGCCAAGAAACATTTCATCCCATCAGCACTGAACAGAAACTTTAGAGAAATATCTAGAAAATGTAAAGTCAGGAATCACGGGTCTCATTGGACAATTAACCATATTGCAACTATATTTGGTATGGTTTCAGAAGTTCAAGGTCGTGTGCAACTCTATAAATACCCTCATTTTTCTGTTCAGGAATTACCTTGGGAATAAAACTCTTACTTGAAACTCCCTCCTTCCTCTCTAGTGTTTCAGTTGATGTGCTGAAGTAATCGAGGTTATAGCAACCAACTAGGAAGACAATACAGGGATACCGGTAGCATGACTTATCAATAGTTGTTTAATCCACTTATTTATGTATGTCATACATTATTCGTGGATTTATAACTAAGTCATCGGAAAAAATTGTTAGTTCAAATGCCAAACTTCTTCAGTGAAAGTGGCCACAATTATTAATATTAAACACGATATTAGTAAGAAGAAATTTTTCTTCTAGTTAGCGTTTTTTAGCGAGTTGGTTTTCTACGGGATGGGGTCGCTAACCCCATGCCCAACCCTCCTCATTTATCCAAGCTTGGGACCAGCAGTAGCCCCCGGAGGGACTCCAGGCCGAGTAATAAGAGGAAAGTGATTGGATGAAACCAACACATCAGAATAATAATAACAAGTATAAATAACAACTAAATATTGAAAATTCAACTCAAAAAGAACAAATGAAATCGAAAATTAAGAAAGCATGAAATATTAATAAACATCGAGATCAACGGGAAAACAATAAAATGAATATATATATATATATATTAAATCCAACCAATTTTCAATTATATCATTTAAGCAAAGATGGATAATGGCTAGCAGTGGAATCTAAGACGCATGTTTCGTCCTATTTAGGACTTATTAGCTGGATATACCTGCATCTCAGAGTGGATGCTCGCCTTGGAACTTGAATCCAGTACCACTTGCTTCAAACGCTATCGTGTTGTCCACTTAGCTGCTGAGTCCTAGAGTGAATATCAACTCTGAGATGCATGTACATCCAGCCTACGAGTCCCATATAGAACGAAATACACATCCTGGATTCCATTCATTTTACTTGTGGATTAAGGCAATGCACACAGTATGCATATGTCAATAACAGACGGACCAATTGTGGTCCTAAACA